TCTTGCTGTTCTATTTGGGGAGTTAAATTCATTCATGCATGATGTGGCACAAGGAAACAATTTTTATTGGCATTTTGAACATTCACAAACTATTAATTCAGCAAAACATTGCCTAGAATCTATTTCTTGGAATTCATTTCCTTTAAAATAACATAAGACAATAAAGATTATTTTTACGGGGCTCTTTATTTACTTGGCTTCGAAGTACTAAACTTCTAATATGGACTGTTTATATTATATTTCTTCTCTTTTAAGTTGCTTTTTACTTATATATATCAATGCTTAAAGTTGCATTATGACACAAACAAGCTTATTTTAAACAAGACAAGCAAGCTTATAAATAAACTGGCAACTTTCCATTAACCCTGTTGGAGCAACATCTCAGGCAACAATGCTGTGTCTCTGACAGTTTTGTTTTCCCCTGGAGCACTTAGAGAGTGACACAGGAGCTCAAGCATGTCTGAAAATGAGACCTTGTGTCCTAAACCACTTATTGCAAAATGGGCTGTACCAATAATAAACCACTTCAATTTTCCTTTTTTTAATTGCCAAATGAGCAACCATTCAGGATTTTCAACTATTTTCTATACACAATTTATTTATAAAAAGAGAGAAAAGACCATATGTTGTATTTCAAAGCACATTAGAGAGCCATAAAAAGACTTAACTGAACAATCCATGATGGGTAAAAACACAAACTCATTTCTGAACTCGTCTGCTGGTTTGTTTGGCTCAAGAAAACCAGAATATCAGGCAAAGAGCAGGAGCTTGATATCACAGCTATGGCATCATCCTGTGCTCTGCATTAACAAGCCAAGAATCAAAAAATAATCTGAAGAAAACAAGATTACTGCCAAATACCACCAAAAATATGCGGAGGTAAACCATCTCTGCATGAGAGCGCATAGCATTTAACAACGAGATAAAAATCTACATTCAGTCGCAGCAGGCAGAAACAGGAAGTTTCTAAGGTTTAAAAGTCTAAATTCTAGGCAGCAAAGACGGAATAAGACCAAGCAAACAGAAGTGTTCAACAGCGAGGGAAAACTCTGGCATCCTTCTCCCAGATTAACATCATTGCTTGAGCCAGGGCCATCTGTGTTATGCTAGAAGTCTGGCACAGAAACAGAGATGTGGTGGAGATGGGCAGGGAAGAGAGGCGGGGTTCAAGGTGGGAAAAAAAGCACCACCAAGGAAGATTTTAATATCTAGGTAAGAAAGTCATGTGATCAGGACAAGTATTACTAGGTTCCACCGAACGTCCTTACAACTTCTAAAGAAAACTAATAACTGTTTTGAACGACATCTTCTCCATGCAAAGCTTCAGGGAAAACATGCAGTCACAGGAATGAAATCTCTGTTGGACTTGCTGATACCTGTGCTTGACAATGTTGTTGATTGTAACTGAGATTTGGTGTGATTGTGGGCAGCGTGGGTTATTCTTGGCTCAGACGAATAGTTTTTAAACGTAAGTGATTCTTGTATGACAGCAGTGAAACAGACCGCTTAAAGCAAGCAGGACTTCTGTTTTTGCCATTTTAAAATCACGCTAAAACTACTCGAAACTGAACTAAAATCTACTCTCCATGGCCATTACGCAGCTGTATGTGAAAGACGAGCATTTTTCAAAACTGCTCAGTCAATTTAAAGCCTTGTTTATGAGGAATTGCAGTTTTTCCAAAGCAATCTTTTTATTTGTTGTTTTTAAAAATTAGAGATAAAATTTTGCTGTAGTTAAACTGGCATCTGCAACACAAAAGCATGCGTGTAATCCGTCATTGTTGTTACATCCGACACACTTAATATCAAAGGGGAGGTGGGACTATAGCATCATTATTTAACAGATTGATTTTAGGCTACATGTCTAACTCAAGTTTCACAGGCCAAGAGTGGCCTGACAGAGCATTTTGTGGCCCGCAAGAGCATCAAACATATGCTCTAAAAATAAGAGTACGCTGCTTTAAAGCCAGCATTGACTATAAACTACATCTCCCATGATACATTTCAATTATTTTACCTGCAAAATGACAGGATCCCACCACTGGGTGGAGGTGCACAGAGTTTAAAAGTAGCAAGTGAATTCAGCTGTGTAAAATCTCCATTTGGCTGCATTTTGCCAGCTACTTTTGCTGAGGCCCAGTTGTACTGGGAAGTGGGAATTTTCCACTTAAAAGTTGTAAATTTAAACTGGAACGCCACTCCAACGGGAAGTCCCTGTTGGAAAGCAGGAGAGTTCAGAATTCGATATGGCAGCTACTCACCACAACTCAGAGAGTAAACCTCTTACTTTTAATAGTATTTCTGTATTGTTTATTTCACATGTAGCCAGTTGTATACGTAGTAGTTTTCAGTGTATATAAGATGAAAAGTTAAAACACTGTTCCTATGCACAAAATACCATGCAGAGCTCAGTTAGCGTTCATCAAACGGGCTGAGAAAATCATCACAGACTCCACTCACCCAGGTCACAACATGTTCCAACTCTTTCCAAGTCATTACTGAAACTTATGCAAAATAATCTACCTCTACTCTGCTGCTGTCATATTTTTTTACTTAATATTAACTGTAAAAACTGTTCTCATATAGTTTTTGGTAAAGTGAAGTACAATGTGAATCTTTCTATATGTAGTGTAATGTGTGTGAATTATATGTTAAGTGTCTGTACATTGTTGATACCAGTGAGTCACGAACTGCCGGAAACAAATTCCTTGTGTGTGTCAACATACTTGGCCAATAAAGCTGATTCTGATTTGCGGTACTAAGTTGTGGCAATGAGACGAGGAACATGAAGTTTCCTGCTTGGTCAAAGTTAAACACAAAAAGTTGAAGTTAATTATAACTGACCCATTGAGAGCAACCATGATGTTCATGTGGCCCTCGATGAAAAAAAATGATGAAAATGAGTTGAACACCCCTGATTTAGGACATCCAAATGAAAATGTAACTGTGTGGTGTTTCAGGCTTTTCTTCCTCTAAAACCAGTTTTTTAAAAAAAACCTATTTAGAAGCTCCTAGAATACCGCTTCCATACGAAAGCAAGGCTGAAATAATAACAAAAAATGACTTGCATAAATTAAATTAACGATCATCATATAAATAACTTCAATTTAAAATGTGGCATTCAGTTTGTTGCTAACCGAACTGCAGTGTTGCAGAGGTTAACAATTGGTAAGATTAACCTAAGCATTTGGTGACACAAAGTGTAGAAAACACACTGGAAAGGGTGTCATGAGCCTGCCGTTTCATTATAGCTTCATCCATCGGTTTGTTTTAGAAAAGGTGAAAGAAAATTATTCTGATTGTTATGTAAAGTGATTGTGGCTGACTAAAATACTAATAGTCAGGCAATTATGTAAAAGTTGTGGGAGATCTAATGACTGCAGCACTTTTTGCAAAGTTGACCTCTACTACAGAGTGCCCATTAGTGGATATTTCAAATGTCAGTAAGAAAATAAAAAGAGAAACTACTTCCTGTTGTTAATCAAGCTGACGAAGACGTGGAAATGTTCAGCCCGTGTGACATCATCCAAACAAAGCCACAAGCCTTCCTCACTCCAAAGCTGTATTATCTTTAGAGCCTTCAAATAATCAGATACTTCATTCCCTCGAGTCTGTGGAGTCAACAGGTTTAACTTTTTTTTTTTTTTTTGATGCATCAAGCATTCTTTTGCATCAAAGGTTACTGACGCAGCATGTTTTTTTAGTTCCCCAGCACACTGACCGCTGCACAGTTCCCATCAGGCTACACAACGCACCTCAGCTGCTTCCTGTCTCTCCCTACCTACTGTTGGGGAGATGCTCGGAGCGGAACTGGTCCTGATTTTCGCAGCCACACAGCTGGGAGAGCTTGCTCACATGCTTCGACACTGGTAACCGCTCACAGGCCATATGGTTCCAGCTTAAATCAAGGGCTGATAAAACATAAGTGCTGGAATTAAGCCTTTTTACAGTTTAGCTAAATTGTGGAGAATAACAAATGCAGCAGAGGTTTTACTTTCTTTGAGGGGTCAGTCATGCCTGCTATAGTCCCCGTTAAGCCCCCTGGGAGACAGAGGGAGAGAGAAATAATCCCTGCTGCAGTCTCCAGAGGACGGAAATAATTAGTTAATACCTTCAAATAGTCTTATGCCTGTTGTTTCCTCATCCATATAATGCAAGAAGGTAGAATTTTAATGTCAAATCACAAAACTGTGATATAGTTTATAGCAGTGGACTCTTTTTCTGTGTGAGCTACACAAATATAAAGTTTTTGAACCTATTTGTACAACTGACCGCTCCCTAAATGCAACTTTATTCTACTATCGTGATGTGAGAAAACACAGAGGAGGTCAGGCAGGCATACATGCACTAAAATTAATCTGTTTATTTATGTGCATGTATCATAGAACTGTATATAATAAATGTTTTTAAACTTTATCTGTGTCTCGCTGAAAGATTCTCCAGCTCATCTGTGGTCGGGTCATGGAGGCAACAGGTCCAGAGGAACCCAGACATCCCTCTCCCCGACCCTGAGGACACACAATCCCTCCTGCTACTCCTAGGTCTGCCCCGGGGCCTCTTACCAGTGGGCCATTCCTGGAAAACATCTAAAAGGAGCTGCAAGAAGGCATCCTAATCAGATGTCTCTGCCTGGTGGCATTAATCGTATTAATCGTCAAGTGCTAAAAAATAATCGATTAATGTTTTTCTGATGATTAATTGCACATGATACGACTATGCCCAACCCTAGGTGAGGGCTGGAGCATAGTCCAGTAAATCAAGAGCTTTTTCTTCACCATGACTAACCAAAGCAACACCCTCATTACAGAGGCCAAGGCCCCAGTCTGTTGATCAATGTCCCGCTCCATCCTGCAATCACTCCTGAACAAGACATAAACTCCTCCACCTGAGGCAAAGACACCCCCTGTAAAACTGCAGAAATAAGCCTTTCTGACTTGAAACAACGTTGTTTGATCGAAACTAAAGCAGACAAAGTGAGTGTGTGAATTTTTTTACTTTACCTGCAGTTCGCACCAGGCCACCTCCACCCAAGTGTCCGTATCCAGGCCCTTGTAGACCGTTTTAAAGGACCCTCTCCCGAGTTCAATGTCAAACTTAAGGAACCTCCCTCCAGGTGACGTGGAGACGGCCTTCATCTCTGCTTCCTCTTCATTCTCCTCGCTGGCTGACTTGACAGCAACTTTCCCCACATCACTGCAGGTCACACTCAAAGCCTGTCCAGCTCTCTCCTTGTCCTCATCGGCGCTGGTGCTCTCTGTCGCGCTGTCCTTCTGCCCGCATTGGCTTTCAGTGCTGGAACTCTCTTGTGCTCCACAGCCCGTCCCCACAGTCCTGTCCACTATTGTTCTCAAGTTTATGTTTAGGATCTTACTCCTGCTGCTGTCGCTTTCAGGTGCTTCGAAGGTCTGCTCATCTGCGTCTGAGAACCACAGAGTTTTCCTGATGAACCTTTGATGCACAGTCTTCTGGTAGTTGGAAGAAGCGCTGGGGTCACTCCCACCTCTCACTACAGAGTCCACAAGATGAGCGTTCCCATCCATGCTCTTCACAGCCACAGAACTGGGCACAGAGGAAAACTTGGGCTCCTGTTGGGGCTCAGAGTTTGGTTTTGCCTCCGGCTCCATCGTGCATTCAACTTAAGTTCAGTCACTTTGGCTTACAGGTGGCTGGCCTCATCATGGCTTCGAGTTTTCTGAAAATGCAGATTTATAGATGAATACCTGCAGCGCCCACCCGGTGACGCAGTTTGTCAGCAGAGGCCCTGAACGCAGCACTGGGATGGATGGCACAGGCGGGTTTTCATCAGATATAAAAGCTGCAAAACAAACGCTGCCCGTCAGGGAAACAAAAAACCCAACATGTGTGAGACAACACTGAAGCTCCACAGTGGCTTTGAGCGTCTTTCCAGTTACTTTACACGAAGTTAGCCTGTTAATAAAAGCGGGTGGGTTTAAAAAGAACAAGCTCCACCGTCGTTCAGGTGAACGAAAATTAGCAAGCTGCTTGTGTTGTGACGACATGCGAACAATTAGTGATTAAACACATAAATTACACAAAACTCAAAAACAAGACACGACTTACCTCGTTTCAAAAAAGGCGGTGGACACAGGCGACACGGATGAAAGTCGACCGTCCACGACAAAAATGTGGACTTTAAAAACGCCCTATCTGCACATTATTCCACCCATTTCCACGCGCACGAGCGAATTACCGCAAATAACAGCGTCAGCTCGCGCTTTGCTAACCGAACAACATGCTGACGATAAGAGGGTGAAATGACAGAAATGATGCTATTTATGTCATGTCAACTCCTCGCGTCCCTTTATTTTTTTATTTTTATTTTTCTGCAGACCTCAGTTCACGTCTGTCCACACTCACTGTGATTGTTCTTCTTCGTTGGTGCTGTAGCCACACACCACGCAGCTCGCTTTAACAAAACACGGAGATTTTTGGTTTTTCTGTGGTCTCCTCTCGGTATGAAACTTCACTGGACACCAGTGATCGCTTGTCATCGTCTTTCTATCTCAATATTAGGTTGGCGAGGCGGTGAAATGTGTTTCCCATTCAGTTCGCTTGGCTCCACGCCCCTGGTAACGACCGCAAGGACTGTCCAATCACACCGCACGGGGAGACAACCACAGAGAAACGACCAGTATGGCATGCCGGTTTACCACATAATCAAACCACACGCCTGTCTTTAGATTGTGGCAGGCCGATTTATCACAAAATCAAACAGTCTTTAGCTATAATTTGGTTATAATTCCAGCGTTTTAAAGACATAATATCTTTCAAATTATGCTGATTCTTTTTAACAATTCATAAAATTATTATTATTATTATTATTATTATTATTATTATTTATTTATTTATTTTGGCGGGGGGCTGTTAATGTATCTAACTTATCAGGGTTTTTGTGAAAACTGCTTGTGAAAAGAGCAAATATTTCTAACCTTTAACTATACAAACTAAATTCTGTGATTTACAGTCAGATACAGAAATTAGTTTGAAATTTCTCAGCACAGTTCATTTGTATATAATCTCAGAACAAACATTTGTTTTAATGCTCTCTGCTCATTTTCCTCCCCCAAAATGACTCCATTGCTGTCAACTCTCACAGCTTTCAGTTGCTGTTTCTTTTCAAAAGACTAGAGAGCTTCATCATTGACTTCTGGTGTCTGTGATTCCATTGTTTTTTCCCTGTGTTTACATCCAAGGATTATTTTATCGACTCAGTAGCCATCATGCTCTGAAACTATATCTGAAGTGTACTTGTTAATGTTCAGATGTAAACACAACTTGTAAATTTGGCAACAAAATACAACTCTGCTGATTTAGAAAATTTAGATTTATAAAAACCTTTCTGATTAAAATATTTATGTATTCTCAAAAGGTTTAGGTGGATTTTTTTTAACCTGTATTTGCAGATCAATAAATCACATTAATCAAAGCATTTTATCTGATCAAAAAGTATTTTCCCCCAAAGTCATAATTTTAAATGTTTCATATTTTATGAAATCACTTTTCTCATTCATAAATATTGGGATTAAGTGTCGCACATCTACCAGTAAGTTATTTCTCTTGTTAGAAATAATTTAATTTTAAAATCTTTGTTATTGATTTTAATTGGGTATAATTTTAGATGCACTTGTTTTATGTTGAAATGGCATCCTATCAGATATCAGACATGTATTTTTTAGATAGTAGTACGTAGCTGCTAGTCATATCAACTGACACAGTGTATAAAATAACACTGAAATAAAAATATATTGCACATCATCTATGGCATCTGTACTTGTTCAAATGTTATTTTTGAAATTAAAAAATTAAAATTTTCTTTTACTATGGTTTAACCTGGCAAATCTCACTGAGATGGCAGATTTTTTTTTCTCTTTTTGATGGAGGCCTGGAGGCAACATTTTGTACATGCTTTTTGGGGTGTGGGGAATGGGGTTCCTGGAGAAAACCCACACAAGCATGAGGAGAACATGTTAACTCCGCACAGAAAGACCCCAGGTCCAAACCATGGAACCCAGGACCTTCTTGCTGTGAAACTTTGTTGATAACCACTGAGCTGTCATGCTTCCAAAAACACTTTAGACACATGTAGAACTTATTATTTTTTTTATTTTATGTTGACTATCATACAATAAACTCATGACTAGTAACACTGGGGTTGTAGACATCTATAATGCAAGTTTTTATTGTTTTCTGAGTAATAATTATATTTCAGATGTTAATCTAAGTGGGAAGATTGTCGAAACCTAAAACTGATCTTTTAATCAGAGAACAATGACGCTGAGACTGTTTCCCTCATAACTACACATGCATCTGTTGCTGTGTTGAGTTTATGCATGCAGCCGCGCTCCTCTTTCCTTATTCAACAGGATACTTTGAAGCTCAGGTTCTCAGAGCTGCAGCTGCAGCAGCAGCTTACTCATGGAAAAATGATGAACAGCAGCACGAGCAGCAGGGAAAGTGGGGCCGAGGTAAGCATTAAACTCATTTTTCTTCATGAGAACATGACAATTATCCACTTTTTGTACACATGAGCATATGTTTAAAAAAAACCTAGCTGCACAACACAAATAAAAAACAACATAGTTTCAATATTAAGATAAATGCTCATTTTCTTCTCTCTTGTAAATTGTAAAGTGAATAATTTGTAAATATGGTGAAGCATAAAGATGTAATCAGATACTGGAAACCACTGTGGTCATGCCAAGTCAAAAAACAAACTTTATTCAAAATAATGTTTTTGCACAGGTTTGTATGTCTGTCTTTTGCATAAAAGAGTGAAACTTCCTGCATGTTGCAGTATAAAAGTGAAGCTGAATGATTACAGATTGATCTGTGGGAACATTTAATCAGAGATCCTCATGTCTGCTGCAGAATTGCTGGGTCAGATGACATTCTGGCCCGTCTGCCCCAGAGTGCAGCCATGTGGGTATCTGAATGTCCTTATAAATAATGAGTGGCCTTTTGAAAACGTTTCTCTGGCCTAAACAATCACACAGAACAGGAACACAAATACAGCTTCACTTATGTATAATGTCATAGGTGCAGGTCAGGAATCTGTAACTTTTACAATAGAAAGTGACATTTTTGTCATCTCTTATATATTTTTGCATAGAGGCACAAAATCTACTTGAATCTTAAAATTAAAATAAGATGGGACTATTTATTAAGTTTATTTCAACATGTAATTTATCACTTCAGTTATTTCAAAATGCAAACATCTTTACTCACTCATTAAAGTACTTACCAGGCTTTTTTAAAAGTCTGATCCTTATTTTTATTCTTTTATCATAAGAATTGTTGTTTTAAAACTAAGTTCATACATGCAGCCCGACCTCTTAAATCACAACTATAGTTTTGCCACAACAATATTGCATCTCATTGCAAAGAAATGGACTAAAAATCTGCTAAATGTACCATTTGCTGTTGTCAGTTTAAATATAAAATTACTCAGGTTCCTTTTATTTTTGGTCAAAGTTACAAAGAACCACTGCAGAGAGTCTGAAGGGTCGCATGTGGCTCCAGAGCCACAGTTTGCAGTCCAGTGGTTTTAACGGGGAAAAGTGCCACCAGAGTTGCCACCTTGTTTGTGTTATTTAATTTATTTTGTGCATTTTGTACAGTGTTTGGAAGTCAAAAACTCCTTCAGTCTCTGTCTTAGCTCACTGATTTAGAGTTATGCATGTCCCTTTGGGCATTTACCTGCATCTTGACCCTCAGAAATCCATAATTTCACAAAAAACAAACAAACAAACAAGCAAACAAACAAAAGCGTAGGACTCGCAAACAATACAATGAGGAGTGGGGGTTGGAGTTGAATTTGACTTTGACTTTTGGCCACAGGGAGAGGTCGTGGGGGCAGAGATAACAGCATCTGCAGCGGCCGAGGAGCAGGTAAAATATATTCATTTTACTACCAGATAAAGGCCACCCTTTGCAACCAAAGATTTTGTCCCCTTCGTGTAACCTCAAGCCCACCTTCACCTATAGAAATAAAAGCTTCTATAGTGTTGTAGACCACTGGTATTGAACCTCATTATAGGTCAACTGTTTAGCTTGCAGAGACTTTATTAGGTGGGTGCTTTATGTGGCAATTAAATTTTGAATTTGACAAGCAATATACAGAAATTTAGAGCTACTGCCAATGTGCAGCATGAGGTTTTATAGGGCTAGGAAATAGACTTCTTCATCTACACAGTCACTATTGCAACATCACAATTTAATTTCAGACGGCTGATGTGTGTGTAGGTGTGTATAACTGTGGGACTTGGAACGAGGAAGGGAGACCCTGAGTATTTCACGCTCAATAAAATGAACCATTGGTCTCATTTACAGTGTGCCTCCCACCCGTGATACATAAAAGACAAATCAATCCATGCTTGTTTGGTGGAACAGAGATGTTCCTTGCAGACTTTCCACAAGCTTTTAATATCCGAGTCTGTTCCACGCTTAAACCCAACACCAGTTCGACTCTGTGCCACCCTTTAGCCCACAGATTATCGTGCTTTTACATTTTTCTCTCCTCAGATAATAGGGTTTCTAATGGAGCGGCTTCCGCTAGAACAAGAAGGCGTTCGGCTTTCTGAGCGCCACAGTCGAGCAGCTGTGTGCTTTGAAACGGCCGTGTTTGTTCTTGCTCCGTGTGAGGCGGCGAAAGTAAAAGCTCTACAGAGAATCATGGAAATTAGATTTAAGGCCGGATCGATCCTGTTCTGGAGGAGGGCCAGCGTTGAGCTGAGTGAGAAAAGAGGGCCGCTGACGCAACGTGATGGATGGAGAGCAAAGAAGTGCTTATACATGAAGTGGTGGAGGTGGAGGGGGGAGGAAAGGGAAAGCCACACCCAGTTAATTTGCTCTTTTCAACAGCTCAGTTAACTAGATAATAAATGTCTTGAGTGCATTGTTGCTGCAAAACGCCGTCTACCTGTCAAGAGCAGAGCTTATTGGTACAAAGCAACAGCTGAGAAAGTGACATGCAGGCATTTGGGGCCCAACGTGGGAAAAGAGCAGAAAGTTCAGGATTAGGTGTGCAAGTTGAATGAGTTCAACTCTTTTGCGGAGAGGTCAGACAGAGCTTTAGATGGTAGTTCAATACGCAAGGAGAGGGGAGGGGGAGAGAGGCACCTTTTGGTAGATTTAAGTTTTGGGTTCAATTTCAGGAATTCAGAAACTTTATCCCTCCCACTGTTGCAACCAGCTGTGGAGCAGGAATCAGAGTAATGACAGAGCGTAACCTTATTAACTCACAAAGGAACAGGAAGTGTCAGCAGAAACTGTCTATTTACCATTTGCAAGGTTGTTTTTTAAAGCTGTAGAATCAAACCTAAACTGTCGCATGAACTAATAAAGCTTTATCATTCAGTGTACATTTGACTGACAATTACATTTTGGAGTTACCGGTAATCTAATTCACAGCTTCATGACTTTAGAAAACACAAAAATGTCTAAAACACAGTCAGGTTTACAGATATTGAGCTAAGATTTGATGTACCAGTAACATCAGACGATGTTTCTGAAGGGGAATTGTTAATGTACACTCTCTCTCTCTCTCTCTCTCTCTCTCTCTCTCTCTC